AGGAGTTGAGAGAGTAAGCAGATGGCGCATAGTATGTATTTTATTATTTAGAGGGAGCATTGATAAAAAGCAACATGACAGCGCCTTGCTGGTTTGGCGGATATAGGACTTCATTGCTAAATTGGGGTATAGCTATGCTGCCGAACGCATCGGCATCCAAGGTGGGGTGGTGGTGTTGGTGGAAACCTCAGGAGACTGAGGCCGCAGTAAGACTAGCATAGTTGTGCTAGATTTAAAAGCTGGTTGAAAAAGGGATGCCCCACTGGACTGGCAAGACTCGGAACTAGAGTTGAAGGTGGTAGGTCTAAGCCGTTGCAAAAACTGCTCTACTTCGGTTTCGGGTTGCACATGTTGGTAGCCGGTAAAGCTACATGAACCCGTGGGTGCTACATATCGTTCCATCAAGCTTTCAGGTTTTGCTATATTGCTTGTTGATGACGTAAATGTTAGATCAATAAATGGTATGAGCCGTCTCAGCGTCTGGCATTGGGAGTGCATGGATGTAATATTGGATGAGTCTGAGAAATGGTGGAGCAGTGGGCCGAGATGCTCCGCCGAGGATGGGTGGAGTTATGTCTGAGATAAAGCGCCCTTTTAATGTTAGGTTCCCTCTGAGTGTTCGCAGAATATCGGCCAATTTGTACCCATTGGGTATATTTGAAGCCATGTCTTTTATTTGGCCAGCATTTCCTTGGAAAGGAATCTTTTCCTTTTTTGGCATCTGTTTGATAAACCCCGATTCTGGGATTGGACTATAAGATCGCTTATTACTTTCATTTGGATTAGATAGTTCAACGTTTAGCTCGCTAATACGCGTTACAGGTTTGAGTGTATCTTCTTTTAAGACTGTCATATCTTCTGACTTGGTTGCGCAAGAAATCTTCTCGCGGCGTAACTCGAATCCAGTACCTTAGTGTCATCGAGGTCAACATTATGCGGTAAACTTTAGTACAAACATCGGCTTTTAAAAGCAACTGTTCAGACTTTGAAATAGTACTTCTTTTCAGGACCTCTCTTTTCAGCGGAGTCCGATCTGCTCTAATCAATTCAGTAGTAACTAAAATTAAATTCCGGTTATTAATGAACGACCGGGCAACCTCAGAGGTGTTGATCTTCAGGAATATCTGGCAAGTGCTTTTGTGTGAGTTCTTCCGTAGTCTTACAACAGCACCTTCTGCGTCACATAAGGAAACAGCCGCTAGGAGATTATCCTTTAATTTATCCGTCGGATACCTATCCAGAATATTAAAAATGACAACGGTGTTGGTGAAATTCAGTTGCAATAGTTATGAAGTTATCGGCTCTATTCAATTGCTCTGTGCATTGGGTTTGGGGCGGGTCCAGAATGTACGTTAGTGGCGTTAGCTGTCTTATGATTGCTTCTATAGCATACATTTGGGTCTTGAAATATCTGAACTCTGTTTCCACGGAAGATGTTTCACCGCGTATCTCAGTTGCTGGGTCTACCTTCTGAGCACGCCTTGTCAGCGTTGCTTTCACGGCAACGGGTAAGGTTTGTGCCTTTTATCTCGTAAATAATCTCGTCTTAGGAAGTGAGACTTTTGCAGTCATTGTGGCTTGCCTTAGTTCCAAAAAGGTATTACTTAGAAAAGGAGAGTTCAGGATCTAGGTTGTAGATGTCTCACTTATCTACGTTCCCACCAGCTTAGAATAAAATAATTCTACTGATCTATCTGACCACGGCAAATAATTGGGCAGGGAACTACGAATGACCACAGTTGCTAGTGATAATGTGTAAAGGTCCCACAGTAACAAGATGGAATAGTGCGACTATTGATGTGTACGCTATAATAGGAGTAGCAAGGGGACAAACACTAACGCCCCGTGTATTTCTTCGCGTCACTGTTCGTTACTTGGCGATCGGCACTAGTTTGAAGTCAGATGTTTGCGTCCGTCGCTCCAGAGGGGTCATACTGTAGAGGGGCCGCTTCCAAGAATGCCTCGGTGGAGCTCTTCGGAGCTAGCTGAGAGCGGATCGCGAAAGACGGCTAGCGACGAGCCTGGGCCCGGAACTGTGGAGCGGGAATATGTGGACAGCGCAATAAATCAGACAAATACACAGCTAGCGCAGCCCACAGGACCGAGGCCGAGCCGATTGACACAGCCCAGAACAAGCAAGTCGAGAGCTCTCGAACGACTCCTGACCGATCCAAATCGGGTACAGAGAAGCGGAGATCGAGGCGAAAACAGGAAGGCGGGTCTTCCAAGTCAGAGCTCCCGAGGCGGAAGGACTGGCTCGCCTCTAACACCCGTACCTGTGTTGCGTGGTGGGACGGAAATCTAGTCGATTTTCGATGGCACGCGTGAGACCCTCATGTGCCCATTTTCGGTGTGCAATAAACGTCTACCCCCCTGTCTTGTCGTTCTCGCTACAATACGTGTTGCGTCCAGATGAGTCAAACGTTCCTAGAGTAGGTAGTTGACGTGCATGTTATCGATCTTGCCGGTAGGTGGACTAGCGGCGGGAAGTCGCGGCTTTTCAGGGTAGGATGAAGACAGAGAAAATGACTTGGAAGGTACTGTCTATTGGCGAGCGTGTCTGTCCTGAGGGAGGACCAAATTGACAACTATCGCTTTGTACAGCGACTAGAAGGAACGGTAGTAAGATTTTCGGATGACGCTTGAAATGATCTTTAGAATAAGACCACAAGAGTTCTTGTAGGACAAAAGGAAGAATAAATTTGCTGATTAGATTCAAGCACGGATGACTTCAATATTGTACGAACACAGTTTGCTGGTGATCCACGAACGAGATATCCAACAGATGAACAGTACTAGGAGGGGGTTGCGAAGCCAAATCGAGTGATAGTCCATAGGTCCCTGTGAGAATAAATCCGACGATGTAACGGTGCATAACGCAAGAGGAATTTCTTTTGGAGACCGTTCGGTAGACGCTTGGTGCAATTTTACTGTGCCATTAACACGTTTTGCTAACTAGTCTCCCCTTTTGTGCAGCATGTTCAATCGGGTATACTTCGGACACGTCTTAAATTCCTATCCTCAAGTGTATGAAAATTTGGAGGCTTGTGATTCATCATCATCATCATCATACACGTTAGCTAGAGGTGGGGAACACCTCAGCTACTGTGCCGCTTGTGATTACCTAAAAGTTGTTCCGAAAACTTGCTTTCAACATTCGGTATAGCGCCTTGAGCGTGTAAAACCTTTTGCAGGTACAAACGCGTCAGTCTTTAGAATTTGACCAGTCAGTATACAGAGAGACCCTCTCGAGATGCTCTGAAATGCACGCACCATTCTACTTTGCATTTCAGATCAATCAGACTGCACAGAAGACTCGAAAACATGCATGTTGGATACTAGCCACCTGTGACACTAGAGTTTGTGCCAGACACTTAGATGGTCGAACTCAACTTAGGCACTCCACTTGTTCAGTTATTGAACCTTGGTCCTAGTGCGCTAGTAAGTTAGCACTTAGGCATTGTGTTATATTAATCAGCCTTCTGCTGATGCAGCCTTACTTGGCAACAGGTGCAACTGGATTACCGTGAAAAGTTCTGGCCCTGTATCAATAAGGTTTCCTGTGTTATTGTGTATGATCACTTTTTCTTGTTCTTTTTTACTACGAAAGTTAGCTAGTTATCTATATAAGTGTTCCAAGCTCAACATCTTTATCCAACGGAAGGACGACAGTGATGACCATCATTTCACTGCGAAATAACTCTCCAACTTATCAAGCCACGGATCATGAAATCGGTCACTAATTTTATCATACAGAAAACAATACTAAGTTAACCAAGTAGCATAACACCATTTACGCAAGTCGCGTGCTACTAATTTGCTGACTTATTGTGGTAGGTGAACCCCCTCAGCGGAAGACAAGGTAAAACTTTTCAGAAGAGTGGGTAGATATCAGAACTATGGCGCACGAAATTATAACATTAGGTGCATTTATCGTCTATCCACTCCCCACCAACATCCTTCTTCAACGTTTGCCTCCAGCGAATTGAACGATCCTGACCTGGCAATTTCCATCCAATCGGGAGGCCTCACAACTTCTGGGAGTCGAGAAACACAACTGATGCTGGAGGGTTAGTCTACGATTGCACTGTCCTAGCTTCTCCACTGTTCATTCTGGATATCAAACTATAGTGAATAACCACGCTATCGGGACAAATCCTTAAATTGGCCGCAGAATTTGTAAGTGTATGGCTCTGGGATATTTTGCCCTGAATTGGTGAAACCATAAGTTAGTTTTAATAGCTCAAAGTACATCCACTTTTGAAGATTTGAGGAGCAGGTTTCCAGAAACTATTCCTACGAACTTCAACGCTGCTTCCCAGTGGGAGGCGATTACGTGCGGCGGACGCTGCCTGAGAGGATATCAAAAAATGAGAATCGGAATGTTAGTATCTTATGAGGGGCGTTCTTTTCCTTGGACTGACCTGTCCGACCCACCAGGCTTAACACCCATATGTACCATTTAATACCCAAGCTAACCAAGCCTAGCCACGCCGGTGACACAGTTCTAGCTCATTGGGATCCATGTTGAATAGTTCAGCAATCCTCGTCTGTTATTTTTGTCCAAATATTAGCATATTTGCAATATTTCATTAGCTCCTCCTCCCTCGGTTACTGGCTGCATGCAAGTTACCGGAAAGAATACATTAGAGAATAGCACGTTGGTTATATACAGACACATAGTTCACCAGTTTCCCACACTTGAGCTATAGTGCCCCCCACAACATTCTATATGCCTCAGAGAACTAGGTTAATGTCGGTGGTACTGCTATAACCAGATATCTATACAGATGCCACGGTGAAACTTGCCGGGAATCAATTCCATTCAGTCAATCCCAGGTGGGGAACAATACCAACCGTTCATTAAAGGTAGAAGACAATGGATCAATGGAACTAAGCGAATTAAAGTGGAAACGATTGCGAAATAATGATTCACACGCACCAATCAGTTTTCGTTGAAGTGCGTAGTGCTCTTCTTAGTCGGCGATCGTCCGTCAGATCTAAACATCATTAGAGAAAACTAGGAAATCCGAGACAGTTAAAGGTATAAGCTTTTTACTGGACACGAGAAACAGACGCTGCCACAGCATTGATCCTTGTGGAATTCTACATTCGACATAAATCGGAGGAGACAGCGCAAATCGAAATTCAACCAGCAGTTGCCGATCCTGCAAGAAACACCTGACCAAACAAAGGAGAGGAACTGTTGCAACGCTTCTACTTTACCTCTGCTCTCTGCCACTGACGACTGTTGTACTGTTGCTAGCTGCCCTATGAGACTGCGACTGTCTGACTTCTCAGTCACGCGCCAACCCAACCGACGGAACACAGAAGACCAAGGCTCGGTAAACAGGGTGTCTATCTACACCATAAGTTAACTGTATTTATAGGTAACCGAAACATGCTAATTTAGGAGGTCAAGATCGCTCAATTTGTGCGTCCCGTTTTCAGCCAGTGTGAGTGAGTTCCACTCCCCGGGTTTATCATATTGACGGTATAGTTCGATTCGTTTTACGCGGACTGGTAATTGCTGGCCGATCAATTCTCAGTCGATACCCAACTTTAGCTCCACTTACGTCTCTATTAGGAACCACAACTCAGTTGATGTTTAATCTGTGAAGCAGTATACCGGGTCCAGGCGGTTGAAGATCAATTGCATCTAGAATCCAGCCTTTATACACTGATGGAAGTAAACCCGTTGCAGCGCCCATTTCAGACGTTACTTGTTTCTCACGCGTGTTTTCTAATTCCGTAATACCTACTCTGACGAAGCGCCTAGCAGGATTTAGGGCCCATAGAATCTCATGTATGCAACCAAATGCTATTTCTTCCCAATCCACAGTGTAGGGATTTAATCAACTTCTAGGCTTGAGATGACCTGTGAGACAGTACGGTTAGACATATGTTCGTTAGCAAGCACAGTTTCGGCAAATCACGGGATGGTATTTCTTATTTCCGCATCCCTCTGCTTCGTTCGTAAATGACCAGTTCCGTTGATCTTGACGCGCTTGCTGCCTCCGGTTCCCAGTTGCCTACCAAACATTTCACCATCATCATCCTCATCCTCCTCCTCCTCCTCCTCCTCATCATCATCATCATTATTATCATCATCATCATCGTCATCATCATCATCATCATCATCATCATCATCGTCATCATCATCATCATCGTCATCATCCTCATCCTCCTTCTCCTCCTCCTCCTCCTCATCATCATCATCATCCTCAACATCATCATCATCCCTCACGTTCTTGTAATGGGTGATTTCAAGGTACATTGTTTAGAAACTCCTGCCACGATCGGAGAACAATTTAAAGCCGATCTACAAATTCTCGTAACCAGTGTTCCTCTTTATAATCACATCACTTTGCCCACTCGATCCAGAACAGGTAATAGGCCATCGGTGCTGGATCTTGTACTTACCAACGAGGAGCATATGATTGATGTGTTGCTTTTAGACTGTCCGTTGGGTCGCAGTTATCACGCCGTGATCAGTTTCAACTTCGTCTGTTATGCAGAATATCTCAATGAGAACGATGAGACTGTGCGAACCATCACAATCTACCATCGATTAGCCCAGCTCGTCAGCGCCACAACTTGGTCGTTCCTCGAAGAAGAACCCCTGGAAGTCGCCTGGCTGGAGTTCGTCAAAAAATTCAATCAGCTGATTGCTCAGGCTTCAGAGATAAACGCTTGCAATAAGTGTAAATTAGTTTCTTTCGTTGGGCGCAGAACTCGAAAATGGATGACAGTATGCAACGCAGCATGGCGAGTGTACAGAGAAGCTCCAACACAAGAAACTTGGGACAAATTTGTAGCCCAGCGTAACCATTGCACACCACTACTAAAAGAAGACAAAGCCACCTATCAGCGGAACATCGCAAAATCATTCCGTGCTAACCACAAACTGCTGTACAAGCACATTAATAGCCTGCGAAAAATGAGGCATGGATTTCCTCCACTCAGGACGGCTGATGGCCCAACAAGAATGGCTGTGGAAGCAGCAAACGCGCTGTAGATGCAATACGCTCCCACGTTTCAAATGGTCTTGTCACCAGGCGATCTACCAAGCTTTGTCTTCTCCTTGCCAGGACTAACCCACATCACTTTTACCGCGGAGGCTGTATTGCAAAAGCTGATCTCTACGCAAACACAGCTCGTCGGGTGTTGACACCACACGACCAGAGGCACTGGAAGCAGCAGCAAGCCAATTAGCAGGACCTTTAGCTCAGTATTTCCTGCGCTGCTTAGACCAGAACCAAGTTCCCGCCATGTGGAAGCTTGGAATAATAACCTCGATTCACAAAGGCGGAAGCAATACTGACCCCTCCAACTACCGCCCAGGATCCCTTCTTCCTATACTGTCCAAGTTCATGGAATCAGTAGTTGCCGATGCACTGGTGTGCTGCCTAGAAAACTGCAACATCATCACGCCTGAGCAGCACGGTTTACGTCGACAGCGTTCATGTACAACGAACTTACTAATTGCACGCAGTAGTTGGACCGAGTCAGCTGACGCTGGAGAAGGTGTTGATGTGATCTACCTGGATTTTTCCAAGACTTTCGATCGTCTAGACCATCGGATACTACTATCCAAGCTGTAGCATTACGGGATCGGCGACCCTCTTCTAAGCTGGATTGCCAATTTGCTACTTCGACGGCAATTAATGGTAAGAGTTCGGAGCTCTTTATCGAATCCCATACAAGTCGAGTGTGGTGTGCCGCAAGGCTCGGTTCTAGGTCTACGTTTGTTTTTGGTGTTTATTATTGACCTTGTCAAGGAATCGCTTCAAACTTCCTAATGTTTGCCGACGATATCAAGATCTGGCGCAGGATCCAGGCGAACGCCGACCAACATGTGCTTCAGAGCGAACTAGATACGGTGTATCAATGGTCGACCCAAAACTTATTGCAAGTCAACGTCAGTAAATGCAAGGTGCTTTCCATCCGACACCAGGGCAGCTACTCATACCGGCTCGGAACGAATATACTACAACAATCAGTTGTCGAACGTGACTTGGGTGTCCTGGTTCAAGATAACTTGGGTTGCTCCATGCAATCCGAAAAGACCTCGAAGACTGGGAACCAACAAGTCGGGCTGTTGTGACGAGCGTTTGGACAAATAAACATCTCCATATTTCGACAAATGCTCAGTGCGTATGTTCGCCACCATGTCGAATACTCAATTCAAGCCTGGCATCCATGACTGAAACACGACCTCAATGCACTGGCGCAGCCACAACGCCGGACATCTAAGAAGGCAATTGGAATGCGCAATCGTTCCTACCAGGAGAGGCTGCGACGACTAGGATTGTTCAGTGGAAGCTATCGCAGACTACGAGGCGACCTGATTATGGCATACTTGATTTTGCGAGACCCACATAATGTATGCCGCCCTTTACTGCAACTCAGCACCAATACAAACCTGAGGGGCCACTCATTAAAACTCGCAGAACAATACATTTGTCTGGAGTGCCGCAGAAATTCCTTTTCCATTTGTGACTCTCACCCGTGGAAGGCTCTCCCAGAATCGGTCGTCTCTGCACCGACTTTAACAGTATGTAAAAGACTCATAGACGATGCACGCATCCACTTACACTTTGTTACTTAACACTACGTCTCCATCCTACACCTGGAGTATAACATGGAATTATTTGTTGTTAACTGTGGGTGCTGTGAATATAAGTGGATCGCAGGACTACAGCGGAGCAAAGGATAAATCCTCATTTTCATATTTCAATTATTATCTAGTTTACTATCCTTATTATCATTACTGTTGTGTTGATATCCCCACCAACTATCCAACGGGACTTGTAAAGCAACACTTCTTAACCCGTATAAATGCACTGTTCATTGTTCATCATCGTCATCATCATCATCATCATCATCATCATCATCATCATCATCATCATCATCATCATCATCATCATTATCATCCTCATCATCACCATCATCATCGTCATCAACATCATCATTTTACACGTTAGCCAGAGGTGGAAATCACTTCAGCTACTCTGCCGCAATAACTAAAGAAAAGAACGGAATAATGTGAAACAGATGCAAGCCAGCTGAGTTACCGTTATCTAATGGACATCGTTCCGTTAAGCTACCAGCCGGCTAATATGCAACAAAATATTTACTATGCAAAATGACATAAGTCTATGTAGTGAAATAGTGGTTGGAAGGGGACGCTAAGAGGGAGGGAACGGGCGAAGGAACGCACAGCGCGAACGTCACTGAGGTCGGCCCTTAGCCATGTCAGTATTTGTATCCAGCCAAACGTGTTCAACATCTTTCGGAACCCAACCAGAAAGCCGGGACACTTCAACCGATGCCAGCTTCGTAGTGAGAGCCATCATTCCTCTCGACCAAGTCATCGTTTGGCAACCCCTCCTCTTATTACATCCACACTCCCGACGCGTAAATAACGCACCTCGCGGGAGTCGGCGGGCTGGCTGGCGTTTCATGTGGCCCAGCCGTCGGAGCCTGGTACGTGAAATAACGGCGCTGAGCAGTTCATTTCCTTTCCTTGCGCCGTAAACAAGGCGTCGAACACGCTCGTATCTCACTCGGTGTTCCCACCAGTTGTGAACCAAATTGCGAAGGCACCGGTGGTCGTACGCAACTAGCCTCTTTATGTCCGTTGATCTAAGGGGCCAGGTTTCACAACCGTGCAGTAGGGTCGAACGTACCGCTGCACTGTACACTCTACCCTTCAGGGCGAGAGTGATGTCGCGCCGGCGCCATAAGTGGAGAAGGTTAGCAAAAGCGCCTCAAGGGTTTGCTATGCGGTTCAGGATCTCATCTTCAATCCCAAGGGCGCTGATCCAACTTCCAAGGTAGTTGAAGTTTTTAACAACTTCTGGATGATCCCCACCAGGGGTCAGCGAAGGAGGCGGTCCAGGCTAATCTTAGAGGAATACTTTGCACTTCGAGGGTAAGAAGCAAAGCTCGAAGGGACGGACAGCCAAAGTTACTCTGTCCAGTGCGGTTTGGCACGTTTGTTAGCCGTCACAGATTAGGGCAATATCGTCAACATACTCCAAGACAAGAAGTACTTTAATTGTTAACGTAGTTATTTCTGACCATGAAGTGCGTTGTACTAACCTATTCCACCCTCATTCATATGTTCCATTACTGCAGATCTTCACTCTGATAGTTTCTGCACGCTGCGTGCTCCTTAAACGCGCCTAGCTAACAAAGACATATTGCTTTTCTCGGTTTAAGCTGCTGGGAGAAACAGCTTCTGCAGCTACCCAGCTAATGGGCTTAACCCTGCTCCATTGCAGCCCCGCTGCATACAGTGTTCCTGGCAACCACGGATGCTGGCACTCCCATTCTGAAAGTAAAAAATCAACCACTAGGCCATCAGTAAAGTAAGGACGAAACAACAATTTGATGCGGTCATCCTGCAGTAAACTACTTTTCTGTAACTTTCTTCCTGTAGCCAACTTTATTGGGTCCTCCTGCAGTGACAATGACAGAAACTGCACAGCAAGTTTACTTGGTCTAGTAATCATGGCATGCATTAATCTGCTTAGCAAACTACCAAACCAATCTGCAGTTCGGTCCTGTGTCCATTTGGATATTCGTCCCTCGTGGAAGTTACAGGCGCACTTAGTTTTGCCAAGGTTTACACCCGATTTATTTCACTTAGAGCACTGGAATTTATCCCAGTTTAATCTACTGCAATGAGTAAGATCCAACCAGTACGGAAGACATGTTGCTGTTGAGCTATGGACACCAGTTTACTTAGGTAAAATATGACTGAGTCGGTAAATATTGCCTTCCTAACATGGAAAGAATTGGACGGTACTTGAATGGGTCGGAACGATTACATTACTTGTGAAATGGAGTCACTGTCCCATGCTATCATAGGATAGAAATGCATCTCTTATACGAACAGTGCTGGAGCAACTGAACCATAGGCTCAGTCACATCCTTAGCTGAAATAACTAAGCGATCTCCGGTGAATGTCGCCAACTCAGGGAGAATTTTGCGGTGTACAAACAGCAACTTTATCATCAATTCTCTGTTGCAAATAAGATAGGAGTCCAAATTGAAGGTGGCACAATGTATGTTTGATATGATCCATAACACTTCTTTACGTTACCCGAATCCAAACTCGACTTGATGATACATCACAATTCCAGCATTACATGCTTTAAATCAAGTTATTGAACCAAGGGACAATGTAACCAAACTATGTGTACAGGTGAACTTTTCGGAAAGCTCTACGCCTTGCGTTTCTTTGATGCGTTCAGTTTTGATCTCACT